CAAGAGTTCATCCAACATAATAATTTTAAGGTCATGTGCCCCTTAGATGGTAGTGGTCTTTGGTTCCTAAACATTTGGAAGGTTATCCAAGATCTTCAGATTGTTGTGAGTTTTCAAGAACTCAATTCCTAGAATTTTAACTCATTGAGAATAGTTTGGAATCTTCCATACATCTCATCAATGATTTGGTTCTCCTTCATAGAGAACAACTCATCGGGCTTCTAAAGTGTGGTAACTCATTTGATGAATTTCCACATTTCTTTAGCAGTCTTGCAATTGTAAAACTTGTTGTATTCAATTTGTGACAAATACCAAGCCAAGTTGTATCTTTCCTTTTTTGTTGAGTTGCAATATGTTTCAGTGTTCTTGTGTATACTCGTTATCTAGCTTGGGAAGTAATGAAGGTGATATTGCATGGACTTAATGCTCATCTCCATTTTGTCCTTCTAATATTGATAGCCTTCTCCATCAAAGGTCGGTGTCCTTGTAAGAAAAGTTCCTTCAAGTAGGTATTGACCTTCATTGCTTCCAATCTTAGGATCTTTTCCTTTAGCATGCTTAAATGCTTAACCCTGCCAAAGAATGAGTTTTGATACCAATCCATAGAGAATAAAAGACACAAGAAGAGGGGTTGAATAGTGTTAATAAAAAACTCAACACTTTTTTGAAACAATGAAGTACCATCTTAAACCTTAAGGAATACAGACAAACAAATATGCAAAGAACACAAAGTATATTTATATTGATTTGTGTCAATTACTAAGACTACGTTCAGTCCTTGATAAACTTGATTCAATATCTTTGCAAAGATACAAGTGTTTTTTCAGAAACCACTGAAGTTTAGTGAAAAACACATAGAAGGAGGGGTTGAATGTGTGTACGAAGGATTATAAAAATGTTTTTACAAAGGTGCTACTTTCCGTCAGAAAATAATATTTCAACTAGGCAAGGAAAGTGCAAGATTGATTGAAAGGAACTTTGTGTCCGAAGATCTATCGTCTGTTCAAAAATGGTTTCCTCAGTCAAACAAATATAAGTTCGTCTAAGTATTGTTTAGAAAATAGGTAGTAGTAGACAAAATTTTTCAGAGTGATAAGTCAATATGAGTAAAATTGCGTTTCAAAATCAAATAACAATGCACAGAGTTTTTATACTGGTTCACTCATTCTGAGCTACGTCCAGTCTCCTTCAACCGAAGGGTTCCACTAATCACAAAGGATTACAAGTATTCTTAACCACTTCTAGTTCGTCAAGTTCACTCGTTGACGCTAGTATTCTTAAACCACTTCTGGTTGCCCAAGTATTCTCAACCACTCCTGGTTCGTCAACTTCACTTGCTGACATTAGTATTCTTAAACCACTTCTGGTTCTACAAGTATTCTTTTACTAGCCTCTTCAAGCTTTACAAACGATGGATGTTTTGAGTGTGTTTGTAACTCTCACAGAGAGAATGGAATGGTTTCTACACTCACTAAGGTTTTCAACCTTAGTTTTACATGAATGTGAGGATAAAATGATTTCTACACTCACTAAGATAAACTATCTTAGTTTTATACAAATATTCAACTTTGCACAAGAAGAGAGGTTAGATTGTTTTGACGCTTGTTTTTGCTTATTGCTTGTTGCTTCTCTTCTACCTTTCTTCTCTACTCAGATCTTGATATTTATAGCCTTGTGATAAATATGCCCGTTGTTTGAATTTCAATGTGTCCGTTGAGGCAGAGCTTTCTGTTGGTGCAGATAAACGTTTGTTCATGGCTACACAGATCTTTTTCATTTAATTTATTTGATTTTGCATTAAATGTTTTGTTTGCTCAATCTGTGTTACGTGAAGTCCTTTTCATCATTTGTTCCCTTTTATTTCTGACTTCAATCATGACCTAGGTATATTTGTCCTTTTTCCGTCATTGTAGCTGTGGAGGGGTTGCCTTTTTCTAAAAAGTAGTTGTACTTGACCTGACACACACAGCTTTAACTTGTGGATTCGTGCTCTTGCATTTTTCATCTCTCTTTTCATATCTTTGATAACTTCGTGTGCTTTTCTTGTGAATGGAGATGATATATGATCTTCTTTGTTGTGACTAATGGACTTCAGACGCTTTTTCACAATGCTTCATCTGCATTTGGAAAATTGAGTCTCCATCTAAGGATTAGACTTTGACTTTGTCATATCGACTGATCAGTCTTGAGGGTAAACAACTTTTATTCTGTCTGGAATGTTTCTTCGTCTTGTGTTATCCAACGAATGATGATTGTTTTGTTGACTTATATGTGGTTGACTATTAAGTTTCATCTAATGTTTATTTGGTGCTTGAGCCAACTTTGTCTTGGTCTTGTTTTGGTCTTGTTTCTGATTTCTTATATTGCACTCTGGATTGTTCTTGGCATATCTTCGTTGCGTATTCGTTGGCGTCTGATGCGCAAGTCATGATCCATCTATTATTTGGCTTGTTTTGTCTGATCTTTGTTATGCTCGATCCTGATTCATACTTTAGTTTTTCCTGTTCTTATACATATATGAAACACTGCTACACAGATTAGTAATAATAATATGTATTGTATTTGTCATATTCAAAACCTTGCTAGAAATTGCTTCGTCTGACTTAACAACCACTTCTGGCTCAATCTAAGCATTTTTTTACTTGTCTCTTAAAGAAACTACTCAAGTATTCTTTAAATAGCAAAGCCTCTCAAGGCAACAACCAAATATTCTTTTACACAAAACCCCTTTAGACTTTAAGCTAAAGCACAAAGTTAAATTTGGGTAATATCAATTGTTTCAACTTACTCAGAAGACGTGATACAAAAATAAAGTGCAGAGCTTTACATAGAAAGAATGAAATGAATTTTTACGATTGATGTTCTCACTTTTTTTTTAGTCTTCAAGTTTTTTTATATAGGTGTTTCATGAACATGACCGTTACAAATCCTTATACGTAGCCTAAATTCAAATTCAAATGCTAATTACTTGGCAACCATATTAAGTCACAATTTCTTTGCTTGTCACATGTCCTTCTCTCATTGGCTGGACTAGATCTTAAATCTAGAAGCACATAGCAAGTTGTAACCAAATTTTGAATTCAATTTGGACAACCAACTTACCTAGGTTAAGCTTCCATGGTTCATTTTGACTCATGGTTAGATTAGCTTGCTTTATAAGTTTCCTATTTTTGCATAAGGTAATTCACTCCTTGTAATCTTCCCTTTGGAGTATATAAGAATTTCCTTAGTCCAAAATTCTCTCAATCTATCGAGTCTCTTAAGAGTATCTTCTCGTTAAGTACTTTTATCAAGAAAACTTTCCTTGTGGCAAGAACCTCTCTCTTGCTCATCTCTCCCACAAGAGTGGAGTGCACTATCTCCATTCTTCATCATATTTTGAACTTTAATTTTGTGTTTTGGATTCATGGAAGCAACTTGAAGAGCTTGGAAGCATCCTTGGAAAATTCAGTCACCAATTCACCATATATAAGATTTCGATCATCTGTGGTTCTTTTTGGACTTGATTCTTAGACATAATTCCATAGATACGGGTCCAAATCGTACAGTTGTAGTGTGTGCTTTTGAGTTTTGATCATTATTTTTTAAAAAATGTTATTAGTTATCGTGTGTTTGAATCAATGAATCCCGTCAATACTACTGGGACAAGTGCTATTGAAATAATTGTTAATTACTTTTGTATGCATTTTGACATGATAACTTAGAGATGTGGATGAGATATGATAATCCAAACTCGCACTTAGCTTACTTGAATTCTCTAACCACGTTCCTATGGGCGTTAGTTTGAAGTTCTATATTCTTCGTGCAAGAAAAGATTGGCCTTCATAACGCAAAACACAAGCATGTCATTCATGATTTGTCATGATAGCCTTTCCTATATCAATCGTTCACCTTTTACAATAATTAATAAAATAAAAAACCAGTTTTGGTATTATGATGAACATTAATAATAATATAACCCTGCAATAAAAGGAGATCGGAACCGGAACGCAATCTTCTCTCGAATATTATTGCAATGTAGAATTGAGAAAAAGAAACGAAATATATCAAAACATTAACGCAAACAAAAAAGATATCGGAACACTTTACCCCTTTCAAAGTGCCAATTCTTACTTCTCTTTAACAGCAATTTTTTTTTTTCCAGCTATCATTATAAAACGGAACTAGAGACTGCAAGGGTATGAGGGTATCCTACTTTGGGCATCTGATTTTTAGTTTTCGTATATAGTGTGTCTGTGAATATCACATATCACTTTTTTACAAAGGGGTGCGTGCTTTTAGCATCAATAAATTGGGTTGCTCCATTTTATTCTTCCCTCATGATTAACATCTTTATTTGGTGTGAAGATGCAAAGGCCAAAATGAATACCAAACACTGTGAGCAAATGTTCTGACTTACAATACCTAATTTTATTATTTGGTGAGCACTGTTAGCAATTAATAGTACAGGGACTGAAACCACTCACTTAGTAAATGGGGCTAAAATTACAATTAAGCCAAATATTATCTATATACAACCATCAACAGTTACAGTCAATTTTATTGGCTACACTTTAGCGATGCTATTAAAAATCTTCAATAAATACCTAAAAATGTTTAGAAATGTCGAAAATCCCCTCAAATCAAATAATTAGTGAGACATGAATTGTTATTAGCATAATTCGATCACTTGCTATTCCATTTTCTTATCTCTTCTCTCCTCTCCCTCGAAAAGGCCTAACATGAGCCTTTCATTGGGCCTAAAATAATTTATCGGTCCAGTTTCCATGCCTAAAGTGAGTTTGTATGCTAGGACAAGAACAAACTCACGTGGTTGTGTCAATGTCTCATTCAAGTGCATCATTCCCTATTACCCATTTAACTCGTTATCACAAACATTAACTTGTCACCGGAGAGAGACCTCACCATTCCCACCATGATTAAGGGTTTAATTAGATAATTTTCTCTAGAAACACTTCTAAAGAGAAAAAATAAGAAAAAAAAATACAATATACTTTTTCACAAACTAAAAATAACTCACATATAAACTAATTTATAGAAACTCTCGTATAGTTTCACCGAAAAATTACACAATAACTTGTGCATAAACTAAATTTAACCTATGAAAAAACTTAATTCGTTGTGTTCCTAATTTCTTCCTAGAAGCACTTCTGGAAAAGTTTATTCAAATAGGTCCTAACTATTACATAAGAGACATCCTACTCCAAAGGCATCCTGAACGTTCCAAGGCTTCTGCAAGCGTCTAAATCACACCAGCAAGAACTTTGACACAGAAGAGACAAGCAACACAAACAAGTTTAGACTAAATCGGATGATTGTGATAAATGACGAGATGCTGACAATCAAAGAAGTTATCTGAAACTATGCCATTGGACGTAGATGTTGTCTATCAACTACATCAACTTTTCCCTTGGAGTGCAAAAATAATTTATATCTTATATGGAAGCTACAATAGCCAGTTCTATAAAACTACTCAAAGAATAATGCCTCTGCAACCAGAATGCGTATCCCACTGATTGATTTATTAGTGGAAGAGCCTGGTTAAACAAAACTTCAGTCTCCTTGGGGATGTAAAGATCGTTTTAATAATATGACCGTGAGATATATACGAACAATGTCCCTATGAGCAGGCTTGAGGAGTTAACTTAATAAAGCCATGCTATTCAACCCAGCTGGTAGTCAGGATTCACCTGCATAACAAGATTGTAGTGAGGCTTACCCATGCAACAGTCCACCAGTCATGCATAAAAACTATTAGTATATTTATCTCTTAATCATAACACTACCTTATTCTTAACGTAAGAAAAGGGGGAGGGGGAGAGAGGATGTAATGTAATACTTGGCATTTGTTCAAATGAATTCACCTTGGCCTCTGCTCCATTTTTATAATAAGCCCAAATATGCAATTGCAACTCCAGAAGTGAAGATTTAAATCCCATTTTGATCTATTTTAGAAAGCAACATAAGAACAAGAATATATTAAAAGTTATGTAATCTTAACAAACTGGCAGTCCAAGTTTTTCTGAATATACCATCCACTCTTCTGTACTAATAGGTCCCAGCCGTTCTTATAGCTAACAACTTAGTCAGCTTAGAAAAAGTACAGTCACAAGAAAGTACCTCTAGGCTCAACTTCTATTGGTAAAACTCGTACACACATGATATTACACAACAAACATTGGTGTAGGGATCAGAGAGTGGATGATTTGTTTCATGTAAGTTGAGCTTTACTACATCTGCTGTATTAAAATTTTCTCAGACAAATAGCACCCATTTTAGTTTCAATGTTTATCAGCTACCAATTCAATTATAAAGGGAAACTATCAGTAAGAAAGAGGCAGACTGTACCTAAGTTCATGTTCACCAATAATCCCGGCAGGAGCATAGTCCATCTTTGAAATGGTGGAACCTTTTTGCATCTCGAATAATGAGTTCTCTGCCTACAAGCTTAGAAATAATTTTCAGTGCTGTATGGCAATCGCCACAAACACGAAGGTTCTTAATTACCCTGATCGGAGAGCGAGCAGAGCTGCTAAGGAGACCATAAGCAACAGCAAGTCTCTCACTGTGTGCAAGAAGAGCTTCTTCTTTGCCTTCCTGGTCAATGTCATGCAACACAAATTTTGTCTCTGGAATATAGCCAGCTTCTTTCATTTGCGCCTTCAGACCTCTAAGCAGGGCATATATCTTATCATTTTCAGGATGAGAAGTATCTCCAGCTCGATATTCATGGACTCGGCTCCTAACTTCAAGAAGATTTTTGCTTGCTAGTTTCTTTTTCTCTCCCTCCTTTGTCAAGTCTGAGGCTTTAGGGGGTACAAGGCCAGCTTTTGACTGGTCATTTACACGAGAAGGATCTAGCTGCTCAACTAGTTCAGCACAACGATCCCCCAGCCCAGTGTTCCCATGAACTCTACAGAGATTCATCAAAGTCTCCCATATATCAGCACTTGGCTCCATTGGCATCTTTTCAATGAACTCAAAGGCTTCATCCAGATGCCCAATGCTGCCAATCATGTCTACTACCCTGACAAAATGAGCCATAGATGGTACAATGCCATAATCCTTGCTCATGGATTCAAAATGCAGCATTCCCTCATCTATATCGCCCAGCATACTACATGCTGAAAGAACCCCAATGAACATATGCCCATCAGGAGCCAGGCCCAAATTTTTAAATTGAGTAAATAGATCAATTGAATCTTCTGCAAACCCATTCTTAGCAAGGTGTGTTATCATAGTATCCCAAGTAGTCAAATTGCGCTCTGGCATATTGTTGAAAATGCTGAGTGCATCATCTACAGAACCACATTCTAAATACATTTCCAATATTTTATTATATGAGCTTACTTTAAGAGGTGATAAATGTTGTATGGCATGTCTGTGTACAATTTTTGCCTCTGTAAGAGATTTAGTTTCCCCACATTGGCGCATTAATAGCAAATATCGAGGCAAATCCACAGGAATACGTAGTTTTTCCAGCAAATTCAAAACCTCAACTGCTTCCTTCACTTTACCCTCAACGCACAAACTATCTAGTTCCTCAAGTGTACCTCTATATGGACTATCATTTGATGCCTCAGCTGATACGCCATCAGGATTTGCATTACTTGATAGATGAGAGCCAACCATCGATCTCTGTGGAATATTCAAGTTTGGAGAATACTGGCCATTTTTCAGGCTATGCTGAAACTGTCCAGAACCTGAATATTGTTGATGCGTCTCATTACTCCCTTTGTAATGAAAATTTGGTGACTTTGGAAAATGACCTCCATCGGCAATCTGACCAGCTGCATAAGAATTTTGCCCTGAACTAGCATGATTATTCCAATAAGACCGACTTCCATTTGATTGAGCAACATAATCAGGTCTTTGCTTATTCAAAAGCTCGTTAGAATCAGCCTTATTCCAGCTTTCCTGATAGAACCCAACACGATTTTGCTGGTAACCTAAAGAATCATCATTTTGGTAACCACCAGAAAACTGAAAATCCGACCTTTCAGCAGCAGTGCTAATAGCCCTCAACACATTAAGGCCTTTTATACGGTCCGTAACTTTGCGTGAGCAACATCCTTTGCACAACTTCAAAAGAGAACTAACTGTAATTGGCGAGACACCCTTTGAAGGCATTGTTTAGGACTTTATCTGAGGAAAGACAAATGGGAAATAAAATAAATCAGTGATAAGATTGTTTCTGTTTGCAGGGTGGACTGTAAACAGAAACATCAATTTTCAGCACAAAAAACTTGTGAATGAATATAAATTCGAGTTCAAATCAAAATATAGAAAAACGTACTTGGTCAAGAGCAAGATCTTCAAGAGGTGAACTGTGGAGAATGGTTCCTACAAAAACATAATAAAAAGCAACTTTACAAATCTTCAACAAAGATAGGTTCAAATTGTTTCCATTTCCAAAGGCATACATGTCCCAAATGTACCCACAAAAATCACAAACAGAAACCATCTACCCACACTCTTCACCACCACTTGCACAATGTTTTATAATTGCAACACATTAATACAAAATGTCCAGAGAAAGATTAATTAAAACAGAGTAGCACTAGTTAAGTTATTAGAAAACCTTTTAGACCCTAAGCAGGAAAATAAATTTCTTTGGCAACCTAACAGCTTTAGCTTATGCATATTGGCTTTGGCTGATGATCAACGTCAAACAAAGAAATCAACATATGCAACAATATATGATTATATTAAGATTAAATTTTGATACGCAACATTTCTTTGTTACAGCAAGGTGTGTGGCGAAGAGGAAAAGGGAACGAAAATTCAAAAAAAAAAAAAAAAAAAAAAAAAAGAGAGAAAAAGAGAGAGAGATAGAGAGGGAGAGAGAGAGTGCCTGATGGGAGTGCGGCGAAGCTGACGGCAAAGGAAGCTCCGCTGCGGCGGAGACGCGGAGAGAAGAGAGCAGCGGCCACGAGATGAGAAGTCGGGAGGAATAGGGTTCAATTCGAGTCCATAATTTAATTTTAAGTATTATTAAATTAATCAATTTATTTTTTAAATTAAATAAGAGTTTCATTTGTGCATAATGAATCCGCTAATTCTGATTTAGAACCAATTATTTGAACTTTTCCCCGTTTTTTCAGGTTATTTTTTTATTCGTTATTCAATTGCTGAAAAATACTTGTTGTAAAGAAAAAAATTGAAAACAATGAAGTTGAATTAAAAAAAAAATGGGATTTTTCATTTCACAAGAATTGTAATTGTGAGATGCTGATTTTTAAGTTTTTATTTTATGATTTTAGTCTATTAAGTATTATAATTTTACAATTTTAATCTCTATATATAATATTTTAAATTATATTTTTGTTTGAATCTAAAGCGTGTGGTTCAGTGATAGGGGTTGATCCACGCTTAAGCAAGGTCAGGAGTTCGAATTCTCTATTCGAACGAACCCAAAATTTTTTTATATATTTGTTAACATATTTAGATTATATTTAATATAATTTTCATTCTTGTATTAAATTATATATAGTCTTTAAAAAAATATGATATATATTTAGTATTACTAAATAATATATATATATATATATTAATATACTTTTATAAAAAAATATATAAATATATTAGATAAGATAAATATATCAAAAAGAAAGCTAATTAGAAATAATCATGTCATTCGTCTAGGTTGCATTAATAAAAAAATATTAGATTTTCAAAAGGCATTTACTACACGAAAAGTTTTTACTTTTCGAGAATTTAGTGTCAGAAATGTTAATTTTCTACATATAGTTTGTTATTTAAAAAATAGGTTCCTAAGAAATATGGTTTTCTAGAAATAGTTTTTGCATAGATTCCCATAGAAATATTCTCATGGGAGTTCTCAAGGTAAAAATAAAAGTTTTAATGTGATCAAAGTCATTAATCCCTAACAAGAATAAAAGTTTTAATGTGACAAAAGTCATATTAATGCTTCTTTGGTAGGCTTTGAATCAGGCTCATAAACCAAAGAATTCTAGTTTAGGCTTTTCATCAAAGACATGATCAGTTGGTGAAAGTAAACCACTAACAAGAATAATAGCACGTTCATGAATGAAGCTACGATGGACCAACTTCATTTCTGGTAGGAGGATGAAGTGGAGGAAATGGAAGAGACAACAAGAAAACTTCCTCAACCCAATTACCTAGATTAGGTGCAGATCTTACTAATGAATCAAAAATTGGTGAGTGAAGTAGTAGATTCAAATTTTCATTATTGAATACAAAATCCTTACTAGAAGGAGGAGTGGAAGGATCAAATGAAGGTACAAGAGGAACATGTAGAGTAAGTTCCTCCACATTCTTAGTATTAGCAATAGTAAAGAGTGTTATAACGAGAGGGAATTCACCTTGAATAGGAGCCTCAAACTCAATCTCAGGATTTTAGTTGTGTGAGAACTCCTACAATTAGTGAGTTAGAAATAAAAGAAGGGTACGTGATTTCCTTTTCAGTTGGTTTAGTGGGACTAGAGATAATCTCAATCTAAGAATAGTCACTTTTAGACTCAGGAAAAAGTCTTGTTGTGCCCTTTTGATTCATAAGGAAAGGAGAAGATAAATCTTATGAGGGTTGCACAAGAATGGTTGTTGAAGTAGTAGGTACTAGAATGTCAAGCATAGTTCTTAGAAGAGGACATAAGATCCTCATGTATAGCTTCAATCATAGAAGGAGGTGAGGGAACTTCTTCACAAGGCACATCTTCTAAGTCATTAATGGGATCATTACAAAGGGTTTCCCAGTCTCAACCAAGTAGTAATCCTTTTTGACATGTCAACCTAGGAGGTTACTTGAAGAAAATAGGCTTTTTTTCTTAAGGAGGTTGAGGAGTAGTGGTAGTAGGCTTGTCTTGGCCATTTTGTGCTTTCTTGGACTTCTTTTTCTGAGTCTTCTTCCTTTTCTCAGTTCTATTATCATCCTCATCTAAACACACACAAACTTTGTTCACCCTAAGATGAGGTCTTAGCTTCATGTATCTTAGATTCTGAGCATTCCACTCATTAACCATGAGATCAACAAGCTTATATTAAAGGAGCACCTTGAAATGCTCAAATATCTTGGTCAACAACATGTCGTAATGGACACAAGAGATCAACTTGGAGGGCTTAGTAGCTTTGATCATAAACTACAAGATGAGATAAGGAAGAAAAATACGAATTTGCTTTCATGTACAATAGATTATGATCAAATCTTGATTTGTAAGTTCCTAAAATATCCTAGCCCTTAGGAGAAGTAAGTGGAGATAGATGTTATGTATTATCCTTCTAAAGGATTTCATATTTGATGCCTTCAAATCATGCTTTCCAGCCTCCAAAAGCTTTTTTAAGACCTTCTTCTTAGAGACTTTTAGTGTCTCGTACCAGTTAGTCCATAATTCTAGCCCATCAATGGACAATCTCAAAATCTCTCCTAGAGATTCAATAGTGAGTAATATATTAGTCTCTTTCAAGTTGACTAATATAATACTTGCATCCTTGTCCACTTCAACAACAATGAAAAAACCTTGTACTAATCTTGGGTAAACAAGTTTTTTGATCTTGAAAAACTTCTTTCATCCTTGTTTTTTCACAAAACAAAAGATGCCCCATCCAACTTGTTTCACATCTTTCAAATTTGTAGTGCACCTATAAACTACCCTTTTATATTTCCAAGATTTCTTAAATCCATTAACAATACTCTTATCTACAAAAGATTAGATTTCGTCTTGCGCTTCCTCTTCAATGTTCGTGTAGCAAAATGCTTGATGGAGGATTTCTTTTGGGATCCAGTGACCACCCTTACGGTTTTGGGTGGTGAACCTAGAATAAAAAGGTCATCTTCACTACAAGAAGGTTAAGAAAAGTTGGGAGAAGTACTATTTTATAGGGAGAGAGAAATAATTTTAATGCTTCTGTAACTTCCTAAGAAGTTACCATTGGGGTTCACAACAGTAATAATTTTTTTATTACTAAAAACCTAATGGCTTAATAATTCAATATATTATAGTATGATGTAAACACCAAATGTATGTTTAATCAGAAGGTATATAACTAACTTATATTCAAATATAAAAATTAAAAAAAATTAAAAAAATAGATTAGGGAGAATATTCATTGATCACATAATATATAAGACATGATATCTAGCTTAATTCAATTTTAGACATGCATTTATATTTATTTTTTCTTTAATAATGTTAAACATATCTTCTAAAAAAGGTTTAGTATAGATGTCTACCAGTTGAAGTTTGGTCTTAATGAACTTTATCTCAGTGTCTCTCTTTTGAATATGATATTTGATAATGATGCTTTATATCAATATGTTTTGATCAGGAGTGTTGAATTGGATTCTTGGATAATTCAATTGCATTTGTATTATCACATAAGATAGGATTTTTTTTTCAAATCTTAGTGAGTAATCCAAAAGTTGTTGTCTAATCTGAATCACTTGAGTGCAACATGTAGCCACAACTATATATTCAACTTCTGTAGTAGATAAGTCAATTGTTGCTTGTTTCCTAGATCCCTATGATATAAGAGAATTTTCCAAGAATTGGCAAATGTCACTTGTACTTTTCCTTTCTACTTTATCCCCAGCAAAATCAACATCACTAAATCCTGTAATGTTAAACATGGATCCTATCTAATACCACAAGCCATGATTAATAGCTCTAATGAGATATCTAAAAATTATTTTTATAACAAATATATGATATTCTTTAGGACAAGATTGAAATCTAGCACACAATCTTACAAAAAAACACAATATTTGGTCTACTAGAAATAAAGTATAGGAGAGATCCAATCATATCTCTATATTCTTTCTCATTGACAGATTTACCTTCTGAGTTAGAACTAATGACATTTGATGGGTGCATGGGTGTGCTCATTACTTTGGCTTCATTCATCTTAAATTTCTTCAAGATGTTTTTAGTATATTTTTCTTGATGGATGAATGTTCCATGATCCAATTGCATAATTTGTAATCTAAGGAAGATAATTAATTCTCCCATCATTTTCATCTCAAACTCTCCTTTCATGAGATATGAGAATTCTTTACACATCTTCTATGAGGTAGCACCAAATATTATGTTATCCACATATATTTGCTCTAACAAAAGACTATCCTTCTAAACCTTTATAAACAGAGTTGTATTTATTACTCCTCTGTTGAATCCATTTTGTAAAATAAAGTTGCTTAGCCTTTCATACCAAGCTCTTGGTGCTTGCTTTAATCTATATAATGCTTTAACAAGCTTGTAAACATGTTAAGGTTTTCTTTTATCCTCACTCCTAGTGGCTGTTTGACATATTCTTTTTTATTGATGAGTCCATTTAAGTAGGCACTTTTAACACCCATCTGATATAGAATTATATCTTGGTATGATGCATAAGCTAACAATATTCTTATTGCCTTAAGTTTGGCTATTGGTTCAAATGTTGCTTCATAATCAATTCCTTATTGTTGATTATATCCTTGTGCAACCGATCTTTTTTTTTTCTTCTAACAACCTCCCCTTTCTCATTGAATTTGTTTTCAAACACCCATTTAGTGTTTATTATTGTTTGATCTTTTGGAGGAGGTACAAGATGCCATACTTGACTTTTCTCAAACTAGTCCAACTATTCTTTCATTACAACAACCTAGAATTTGCCTTCTAAGGCTTCTTTAATTTTCTTTGGCTCTATATTGGATAGGAGACCAATAATATATTGTATTCTTTATTAACAACCCTTGTCTTAACTCTAGAATTTGTATCCCCTATTATTTATTCAAGTGGATGAAAGGATGAGAATCTCCAGCTTCTAAGCATAGTAGGTATTTCTTCTACTTCAGGATTTAACTATTCTAAGGCTTTCTAAGTAGATTTGAGAGTATCACCTTTTGATGTGTTGTTAAAAGGTGTTTTTTCCTTTTGAGTAACTTTCATTCTTTCTAATTCTGTAATCTTTCTCAACTCAAGTGTATTATATTTTTCATCATGCATGTTTTCTTCAATAGTGATTTTTTCAAATTATAAATTCTATATGCTTTAAAAGATGAAGAATATCCTAAGAAAATTACTTTATTTGTTTTTTCATCAAACTTTCCTAGATTATCTTTATTATTTAGCATAGAACATATATAACTAAATACATGAAAGTATGATACACTTGTTTTTTTTTTGCTTTTCCATAATTCATATAGTGTGTTTTACTCAAAAAATTCTTAAGTAAATATGTTCAAAATGTAACATGTAGTATTAACAATTTTAGCCCAAAAATAATTTTGAATTCCAAAATCAGAAAACAATGTTCTGACCATCTCTTGAAGTGATCCATTCTTTATTTCTATAATACCATTTTGTTGAGGTGTTCTTGGAGAAGAAAAATTGTGTGTAATCCCTTTATTTTCACAAAACTCTTTGAACATAATATTTTCAAATTCACCTCTATGATCACTTCTAATTGAAATAATTTTCAAATCCTTTTCACTTTGAACCTTTTTACCAAAAATTTTGAATACTTGGAAAGATTCGTCGTTATGAGAAAGAAACAAACCCAAGTGTAGAGAAATCATCAACTATGACAAACCCATATTTCTTTCCCCCAAGACTAAGTGTTTTTGTAACCCCAAACAAATCTCTGTGAATCAATTCAAGTACTCTTTGAGATGCGATATTTTTCTATGGTTGAATGCTAGATTTTGTTTGATTTCCTTTGGTACAAGCTTAACAGACTCTTTCTCTCTAATACTTGATTTTTAGCAAACCTCTCACTAGATTCAGATTGGATAATTTTGACAAAGTTTTCATATTTATGTCTTACCCTTTTGTGTCACAACCATTTTTCATTTCAATCATAGCTAGACATGGATGGTTTGGGACATCTTCTAAATGAACACTATATAAATTATTTTCTCTTTTTCTAGAAAACAAGATTTTCCTAGTTGATTTTTCTTTAATCTGACATACATTTGTGATGGAAACTTGGTGGAGAATCCGAATTGATGTTGATTCCTCTTCAAGTTCCTCCCTAGACATTTGTTAATAACATCCAAAGTGAATTTTACAAAGGAAGCAACCTATATATAGAGGTGGACTATCTTGTAGAGCAAGTTAGACAAGGTAGGGACAAGGTAGGAACACTTATATCTAGATTGGCCAATTATAGCTTTCCAAGTGTCACTTTGTCTCTTAGAAGAGACAAGGCGGAGACACTTAGATCTAGAAGAGCCAATCAAGAGGTACCAAGTGTCACCTTGTCTCCTTGGCTAACAAGAACAAAGTGTGTAGTAGAAGCTAAAGGAAACTTGGCCAAAGAGAGAGCTAGGCGGCCATGGCTTGTTTCCTACATCCATTCCAATCCAAAAACTTTGGAATTGGTAAAGTTAGGTTCACCAAATGGTGGTGAGGCCTAGCTAAATCAATTTCTTGGAAAAAAATGGAGGAAAACAAGTCTAATATGTAAAATTTGGCCTAGGCCCAAGGTACTGAAATATTGTTCCGTAATGCCTGTAAGTGCACCCAGAGATTTTCACGCACCCTCGGAACAGGGTGGCCATACACCCCCGTGCAACACCATGTCAACCCATTTGACGACAATTGGATGGTGATAGCCTGCGGATGTGATTCTACCACACGCCCATGAATATCTGAATTATCCTTCCCTAGAGCCCAAATACCTCCAGAATGGCCACGGGCTTCTTGAATCGAAAAAGGAGAGTAGCCCATCCTCTTCCAGAATATTTCCACCTTTTCGAAAAGTACATGAACTTCAAATAGGAACACCATATCAGGTTTATATTGACGAATAGTCTGACTAATGTGCAGTTTATTCATCCTCCCCGCAGCCCCTCGCACATTCCAAGCTAAAATAGAACAGTGGTTTGTATTCATTGGACACCCAAATCTGCATAGGTCAATCACCCCAATACTACTTCTGAGGGTGAGGCGCAACATCTTCTCCAACGTCCATATCTTCCTCCAAAGCAACTCCGTCAGAATTGTGATCCACTCCATCACCTACTGTAACCCCATCAGCTGGCAAAGCGTCATCAGGGGGTCTCGGTGCATGTTGCGGAATAATATGAGGTTGCGGTGGATCTCCAAAACTTTGTACATACGAGCTGTATGGTGGTTGCATGTGTGTATGTAGTGGTTTCATACCAGTTTTTACGTGTGCATGAGCACTAGTCAAGGGAATAGACACCGTTTGATTCTTCAAACAGTTCACAGTTTTCTTCATAGCCATTGTTTGCGACGACGACCCCTCCTCCGTTGACTCCGCTGGCTCATGTCTCGAACGTTTACCCTTACTCTTTGTCCACACTTTCGAGGTATGATCCACAAAGTGCCGCTCAGGAGTGGATCCCTGATTCTCGGTACCTGAAAATATTGTTGTATTCAAATAATCAGCATTCATTGGCCCCTGATTCGTATCCTTTTCTCTCCGTAATACTTGGAACGGATTATTTTTAAACTTAAATTGAGAATCCCCTCCTTTATATCCCCATTTATTCTCGCCACCTGTAACGCCTTTAGATTTGTCTCCCCGTTTGAATTTCGTAACCACCATCCAATCCCCGTGGACCCCATCAGCATCGAAATCCACTGTTTGAGTATGTGAATGTACGTCAGTTGCCGGCGGAGCCTCCCGAGGAACCTCTCCCTCTGTCTCTACACCATCCAAACCTTGAACAGCACATTGGCGAGCCACATGCCCGTAACGACCACACTTCGCACACAGTAGATGGAGACCCTCATACTCAATTTTGAACCAGACATTTCTAAACCAAACCTTCCCCACCACTGGCTCATTTAAATCAATCTCCACGCAGACCCTCGCGAACTTGCCCCGTGTCGCATTCATAGTCATGAAATCAACCTTCACTGGCCTTCCAACAGCAGTCGCCAACGCAAGCAAGACACTCTCGTCATAGTATTCCATGCCCAGACTAGGGAACCGAATCCATACCAGCGCCTTATCAATACGCACTTCAGCTGCTACGAAATCTGCAAGGCGGGACAATTAAGATCGAGAAGAGCCAATCAAGAGGTACCAAGTGTCACCTTGTCTCCTTGGCTAACAAGAACAAAGTGTGTAGTAGAAGCTAAAGGAAACTTGGCCAAAGAGAGAGCTAGGCGGCCATGGCTTGTTTCTTTCATAATTTGTTTTTCTCTCACTAGGGAAGTGTAGCCATGGGAACCCTTCTCTCTTCACTCACATTGTGGCAAGTGAAGAGTTGTTCATTCTTCATCTCCCAATCTAAGTAGTCATCAACATTGTCTTTTCCATAGAAGGGAGGAAGGTCAACCCTAGGTTCTCTAAGAGTAGTTGTTTCATGTCTAGGCCTATGTTTCCTAGGGGCCCTTTGATAGTAGCCATCATCATGGTGACTACTATAAAACCCTTCACTTGTGGAATAGTGAGTGTGTGAATGTTGGCTTTTGAGTCGTGATGGTTCTTCCTCATGTTTATGTCTATGGGGCCTAAAAGGCCCTTCACCATCATGTCGATTGGCTCTTCTAGATCTAAGTGTCTCCGCCTTGTCTCTTCTAAGAGACAAAGTGACACTTGGAAAGCTATAATTGGCCAATCTAGATATAAGTGTTCCTACCTTGTCCCTACCTTGTCTAACTTGCTCTACAAGATAGTCCACCTCTATATATAGGTTGCTTCCTTTGTAAAATTCACTTTGGATGTTATTAATGAGAATTGGCGAGATTTTCTTCAGAATTCTCTCTCCCTTAAGTCACAAACTCTATCTGATTTAGATCAAATTCTCTTATCATTTTCCTAAAGAATATGGTAAGGATTGAAATGGTTCATCTTCTTCCAAGGATTGACATCACTTAAAGAGTGTTCTTCACCTCCTGAGGTGAAAACCAAGACTTCTACCTCCATTAGAGGGCTTGGAGAAGCTTGAGAAGTGTCAAGAAGCTAAAGGTCTAGGGAGGAACTTGAAGGAGAAACCAAGCCAATCTGGATTCTCTACAAGTTTTCCATCACGTATTGTCTTATTTTGAAAAGATATCATAACTATTAAATTCCATTTAATACTTACCATCATTAATTTCCTCGATTTTTGAAAAAGGAAATGTATGGAAAAGTAGGAATGATAGAGGCACGTCATGTTAGCACAACCTATTCACTACTATCTTTTCAGTCTACCAACCCCTAACTTATATACTACTCTTTCTCTACCATGTTTTCAAACACTTAACCGTCTCGATTAATATTGTAGTTACAATTTCATCATTTTGAACCCAAAACCTTAACTTCTAAAATCTCAAATGGCACCAAAGACCCAAGAAACTCGCAACAGCAACAAGGTTCCCATGGAAGAACACCCTAAGTCTACCTTTATTTCAGGGAAAACCATTGTGACATAGAAGCTTCAAGACAAAGGCTATCTTGTGAAACACTATTTGGACAAGACTGGATGAACCATGTTCACAGAGATGCAGTACAACTAGTTCCATGTTTCTTATGCCTACTTCTAGGCATCATCAAGACAAGAGGTGCATGCTTTTGCTGGAGAGGTGGACCAAACCACTGTGAGGATCAGTTCTCTCATCATTACCTTTATATCTATTTGTAAAGAAGAGGGGATCTCTTACTATGATAATTAGAAGATGACCAACAGAGTAGGAGTTGTTAATGTGATGTTGTACTTTATCTTTTTCCTTATAAAGAAGACGAAGCTAAAGAAATATCTTCGTGTGGCCAACCTGAAGTTGTTATGCAGATTATTCCATAATATGCTCTTTAAAACATTCATCCCTAGGTTTGGTTCTAAGGATAATGTCTTTGATGTGGACAAATTCTGCATCTATCATTTGTGCTTGGGCATGAAGATCAATTTGCCTAGTTTGTTTTACAACTACTAAAAGTCTTGATTTGGACAACGAGACCAGGAACATAGTAAACAAACACCTATTCCTTACAAAATGCTCTTTATAAAGATCATCCAAAAAGCTGGCATGGACACCACCTATTTGGAAAAAGAGAAGAAGGCCACCCCACTTCTAATACTAAAAATAAGAAAATCAATAACCCTTAATACAAGGTCAAATGGAGCAAAAGTAGAATCCTAAGGGTATGACTTACAAAGAAAGAAAAATGTGCCTCACAAATACAAAGGTAGGGACAAGGTAGGAACACTTATATCTAGATTGGCCAATTATAGCTTTCCAAGTGTCACTTTGTCTCTTAGAAGAGACAAGGCGGAGACACTTAGATCTAGAAGAGCCAATCAAGAGGTACCAAGTGTCACCTTAAAATCTGTCTCCAAATTTAACCTAAAATTAAAAATAAGTCTTGGCTACAAAAAAGGAACAAACAAGTGAGCCTTTCCAAGGTGTTTCACTCAAGTAATCTGTACCTCAATCTTCTTCAAGTGTTGACCCCTTTGAGATTAATCTAATTTGCCTCAATTAACTCTTCCTTCCAAGTGGAATGGCTTGACCCCCACTTATATCCCACCAAGGCTTAACAATCAACAAGAGAGAGTAGAGGCCAAGAAATTAAAACTGAAAATGCACAATTAGAATAGGCTACACTCATATAGGAATTAATGTGACAAAACAAAGAGAGTCAAGAAGACACAAAGCAACATCACATAAAAGAATAACCCTAGGAATAGCTCTAAAATGGATTATAAAAACAAAACAAAAATTGTGCTATGATTTTTAGTATTTGAAAGTCTTTTCCAACCACTGGACAGCAAGCAAACCTCAAGAAAAATTACACAAAAATTCAAGGCCAAGTGCTACTATTAATGTTTTGTGTTCACTTTGCTTTTTCTAGGTTTTTTTTTCTCTTTTGTTTTCTTTTCTTTTTCTTGTATTTTTGTCTCTTTCTTTTCTTTATTTTATTTGAATACAGAGAGTAAGCACTTAAAACAGAGGCCAAACAATTAATAAAGAGGTTTCCAAGTGGTGGAGAAAAGAGAAGTAAAAAGAGTAAGAAGTGTAAGTGTACTAGTCAAAAATTTCAACCACAAAATGTTACTAGTTTTAGTACTAGTTTGTTCTTATCTTTTGTACACTTTGATTTTAGTTTTTAATACACTTCTAACTCTGGTTTATTTTTTCGAAACAAGCACAAGACACACAAGGAATTGCTGGCCACAAATTGCTAAGAAACTATTAGCAAAAGAAGTTCACAAAAAATTGACTCTAGAACATGTTAGGACTAATAACATGCATTGGAAACATTTTATGAGCACTCTAAGATTTTTTCAATATTCAGCCAGCAATGACACCATACAAGAATAGATATCAATTCATATAGATTCAAAAATAAAAAGGCACAACAAGGATTTAATGACAAGCAAAACAACTACACATGACTCTAAGACAAAACTAGTAGATTAAGAAATGTAAAATGCTTGTATTCTTGTTTCTTTTTTGGAATTTCTTTTTAGACCGAATATTAAGGAGCCCAATGAAAGATAAAAGCAATCCTAAATCATTTAAAAAGACATACAAAGAATACCTAAGGCACACACAAAGATTGATTCACAAGAATTTAGAACATGAATCAAGAACAAACACGAACAGGTGAGTGTGTTATATAGATTTATAGATGTGACACAAGAACAACTCAAGGCACACAAACACAAGACAATAAAAGGAAATACATGTAGGAACAGTTTAGACACACTTTTACATGATTTGAACCGAACAAAACAAGACAAGAAAGCTTAAGAACGAATTTACCAAGGAGACCTAGCTCTTGATACAAAATAATGGAAACTTGGTGGAGAATCCGGATTGATGTTGATTCCTCTTCAAGTTCCTCCCAAGACCTTTGGCTCCTTGATTCTTCTTAAGATTCTCCAAGGTCTCCAATGGAGGAAGAGACCTTGGAAGCACAACGGATTGGTAGAAAACTCTCTCAAGAGACCCCACTCCTTGGAGAAGAGATAAGTCTCTTCAATTCTCACCACACTCTTCTATGGAAGGGATAAGAGAATTGGATGAATATCAAAGAGGTTAAAGACTTTTGGAAGAGAGAATTTTCATGCAAATTCTGATCTCACTCAAAAATATCATCCAAAAGTGTTTTACAATGAAGGAAAAATGAAAATATAGGAGTAGGAAGCTTGGAGAGCAAGCTAGCCTTAACCATGGTTCACTAGGAACCATGGTAAGGTCTAGCTAACCATCCATGGTCTAGAGGCTTGGAGAGCAAGCTACTCACTTAGCTTGCTTGGTAAGCAAGCTAAGGAGAAGCTTGTGCTTCAAGCTTCTAAGCTTGAGAGAAAACCGGCCATGTGAACACAAGACAAGGTGGGTGGCTCATGGACTTCATTTTACTCCAACCGGTTTTGAAAAATGTTGATTTGGTTTAGTTAGGTTCATCCAATGTGAATGGAACCTAGCTAAATCAAATCTATGAAAAATTAGGAGTAAAATGAGTCTAATATGTAAAATTTAGCCTAGGTCCATCTCTTGGTCCAATTGCTAGTAACACTCTCTAGCTTGCTAGTCTCACTCTCTAGCTTGCTAATGCCACTCCCAATCCTACTACTAGAAAAATAAGAAAAGAGTGTATTTCTAGATTAGGTTAAATGGAGTTAAAGTGCCCAAGTAACCTACCCTAGAATCAATATACAATAGCTACTAAAAGGAAACAAAGTGTCTCTCAAATACAAAGGCAAAAATACACCTATACAAGTATCTACTATATACAAGGTACAAGAAATCAAACTACACAATTTATTTACAATAGAGACTCCTTAGATCAACCTTCACCCTTCTTGGTCTTACCTCTTCCAAAGGGATCCTTGGGGATTAGATTTCCATCAATTTGGTTCTAACATAACTTCATAATCACTATCACATAGTTGATTAATGCTTAGAGGTTTATGTTTAAACCTTTCACATAGTAAACATTATCTATTTGTGCTAAGTGCAAGTTACCTATTTTTTCAATCCCTTTGATTGTAGTTATTCTATTGTCTTCAAATATGATAGATCCTTCACTTGCCTTCTTCTCTAGAGTCATAAATTTGCTTTTATCTCCTATCATATGTCTTAAACATCTACTATCCAAGTACCATTGCCCTTTCTTGTTGTTGTGCGATAAACATTCCTACATCAAAAAGTAAATGAGGTTTAGGTACCTATATTTTTCTAGGTCCTTTCATGTTAATTACATTTCCATTAATCATGTTCCTTTTCTTGTAATAGTCTAAGGTATAATGTCCCTATTTGTTATGGTTAGAACATTTCTTTTTGGCTCTTTTGCTTTCAAGTTTGTTATACACAACCTTCCTTTGATCTTTTCTAAAAGCCAAACCAGTTTTATCTTGAAAATGCCTTTGATCACCAATCAATCTATTAAGATTTTTCCCTTCATTCAAAAAGTTTGATAGATCTTTTGTTAATATTTCAATTTTGAGTTTGAGAATTTTGTTTTCATTTTTTATTTGATGAAATAGTTTCATTTCCTTAATGATCACTTTTAATTATTCAAACATACTAAAATGAGTGTCTCTT